TTGTGCTGTTTGAACGTGTTTAGATAAAACTGAGACACATGGATTCTTGCATAGAACAAATAGCTTGATTGCTTTCTTTACAGCAGTGAGATCGCCTTTTGTGAAGTGTGTTGAGGTCTGTGTTTAGGATCAGTTACTCTCTCATAGCGATGGCAGAAGTAAACCGCACGGACGTATCTTTTATAGATACATTCAGTACGGCTTCACTGAAGAATGAAATGGAAAAGGGAGTCAATCACACTCCTCGTGGTCTCCTCGTGGTATCGCCACAGCTGCAGTGGCCTTGATGTGTGTGTAGTTATATTTTAGAGTAGGTAGCAGCTCTACAGATCCTCTGCAACACCCTAATGCAGGAATATGTCTGTTTTAATGCTGCGAACACAACGACCAAAGCAGTTGTTGGCTATGAGAGCTCCCAAACAGCTGAAATGAAATGTTTTCTGAATGTAAATATTCAGGCTGTAAGCATGTAGTCATAGCGGTGCTTATACTGGGATCTAGTAGTCTTCTAAAGACATCTAGCTGGTGGTGTGCAGCCTAAATAATCAGGAAGTCATCTTGTTAACGGTGAATCAAGTGAAATTTAGCATTTCACTTTAAATCCGTTGTGTTGAGATTCAGTAGTTGTAAGGCACTCTGCTTGCCAAATTTCAGACTGAGAAATTTCAGGCAGCCGTTTACAACTTGCGTGAGTGTCGGTTTAAACATAGAGGATCATATTTTTGGGGTTCCCTCATGCATTCCTCCTCCTCCTCCTCGTATTCTCCATGTTTCCTGCCTGTAGATCCTGTTCAGAATTTCCAAATCTCCGAAGGTCCGTGTTTGGATAAAAGCAGGCTGAAGCCAGACATGTCTGACCACAGTCTACAGTGAGTGAAGTGTTTCAGGTTAATTATGAGTTATTGGAGGATGATTTGTAATTACATTTCATCTTGTACTTCACAGATACAAGCGTTTGGATGTAAACAGCTGATTGCTTATCCTTCAGATACTGACATGACATAGACACAGCTCCTTCCCTCATGATGTGTGTCTCTGTGGTTTCAGCAATGCGTTTAAAAAAAG